CATCAAATTCTTTAACATGAACAACCCAAATAAAATTTCTCCTTTTAGATTATTGTAAGCCAAATCAATATGCTCAAGACTTCGATAGTTGGTAAACTTTTAAGGATTTCACCAATTAAATTCATATTTCATTCTTTATTTTTAATCTTTTTAAACCCCAACAATATTCTCATCAGAGAAAAATCATTAAATACTGAACCTAGATATTCAAGATTGGCTATGTGATTGTGTTTTAACGAAAAAATAAAGTTCATATGCATATATAAGATTTATAGCTCCGTCAAATTTTCGATTGGCGACGGATATCTCTGATAAAATTGTTCCCCAAAATCAAGATATTGAAGTTTTTGAAGCCGATGAATATCCAATGGTATGACACCCACAAATTAATTTTGAAAAAGGTCCAAATATTGCATGTTGAAATAGTTGTATAAGACAATTGGGAACTTAGATTAAGAAACTAAATTTTTTGAGGTTACAGATGGAACTTGGAGTTCCACTTCAATGGCAGAAAATTTTTAGTCAAAGAAAAGGATAGAAAAAGGAAAAAGAAAAAGAAGAAACCGGCTGAAAAAGAAAAGAAAAAACATAGAAGGGAAATAGAATAAAGAAAAAGAATAATTATATTTTTATATAAAAAAAAGTACCATATATGTTATGTGGCACCACGCGTGCAACACACTGCTTATCATAAATCTGGGTGTGACCTTTTAAGGGGCAATATATTCCACTTTTAAAATGTTTAGGGGGGTAATAGGACCCCCGTAAAATATAAGTGTGTAGTTGAGAATTGACTAATAGATTGGGGGTTCATTTGACCATTTTCTCTTTAATATTCACACAGATCAAGGCTGCTGAATTTTCCTGTCTATTTTGGTTTTCTCCTGGTGCAATATAGTTGATTCGAAAAATCATTGATCCAAATCCTCAAACTGTAAGTGCACTGATATGGGTCACTTGATTATTCAATCTACTATAAGCGACATTAATGTTGCACAAGAAAAAAATCCTTCATGATGGAATATGAGAAACTCTGTTTCATTAGAATTGAGTTTGATTACTTTGTTTTATTAGAACTGAACAAATCATTAAAGTTTGACATGATTTTTTTTGAGTAAATTTCCTGGATTGGTTATAGAGATCCTTTTTAAGGTCATTTTAAATGTGAGAAATGCCTTAAGCATATCTTCTGCTCGCACCTTGTTTTGTTCAGAATAAGTGTTCCTTTTCTCATCTTTTTTTTCTTGATTAATTTGTGAAACTTCAGCACAACTTGTACATGAGTCCTTTTAGTGTTTCCATAGTGATTTACTCAGAACCATGTACATGTAAATGATCAATATTGATAGGATAAAACGAGACCTTGTGTTCTTTCCTTTTCATTACCTTCATTGTGAAAGGTTAGAGAGACGGAACCAACTCATTTTTTTCTTCTTTGTCTTCTCTTTGTTATCTATATGAATATATGAATCGAAGCATTACGTTGGGGGGGCACCTCGGGGTGAGATGCCTCGAGGTGTGCTACCGGGGGGGAGGTTGGGGGCCTCGAGGCACAGTGCCTCGGGGTGTGAGGGGGGCCGAGGCAAGGGGCCTCGAGGCACGGCGCCTCAGGAAGAGAAGAGGGGCGCCGTGTCATTACATTTCTTATTTCAAAAATGTCAATTCCTTGTCATTACAGTCTGCATTTTTGTTTCTTTGGTTTTTCATCATCTTGAACCTGTTTTGCCCTCTGTACCAATTCTTTTGTTTGTTTGTTAATGTCGATTCTGTCTTCGAGTAGGCGTTAGAGTTTTAGGGTCGATTATCATAATAGTTGAGTAAGATCTGTTATTCTTTTCGCTTGAGTTTTGTTTATTTTTAGTATGAATGTCTAAAGGTTACATCTCTTATTTCAAAAATGTCAATTCATTGTCATTATAGAACTCTCCTACTTACTTCAAGGAGGAGGTATATGATTTTGATTCACAGAACCTGCAGTCGTTAAACTTTGCAGTGGCACTAAGACTCAAGTATTATGCAGGTGTTGCAAATGGAGTCTGCTGTTTTAAATTACTTGAAGTTTGAAATGACAGCTCCAACAACCAAATGCTTTCTGAGTTTAATATCTTACCATTATCTAGTAGTTGCTTTTGAGTATGATGATTTAGGAACTTATTGGTGAGATATACTGCAGGAGGTTTGTTCGTGCTGCTCAAGGACTTAATGAGGTAACCTCTTCACTTAAGGTTGATAATTCTCCAACATATTTTATATAAGAAACAGAGATGATTAAAACTTTATAAGAATCTACAGGTTCTGTCACTGTAGTTGGAACACTTGGCTAGCTGCATCGCAGAACTCTCTCTTTTAGAATACAACATGCTTTGTTACTCCATCACTCATTGTTGCTTCTACATTTTCTTGGCAAAAAATATGTTCTTTTCCCTTCAATGAAACCTTGGGTATGTACAAATTAACATTGTGACAATCATATAAACAGTTGTAATGTATTTTCCCTTCTTATTCTCTTTTAAACAAATATATATTCTTATAAAATTTGACTTTTGGAAACTCCGAATACAGAACTCTACGTTGAGGCATTATACTCTGTACCAACCCTCTGATTTACGAGATTGTGTCATGGCACTACATAGCCTTTCCTGCAACAATAACAATTCTAGCTTACCAGCAGTCAGGGAAAAATATAGAAAACACAATGTAATTTATCCAAGCCTATTCTGACAATGAAGATAAGTGGAATGAAGTCCTAACATATGTATACTTTCTAGATATAGGTTTGCATAATTCTCTTTTCAATTCATCCCATGCCTATATACTGGAATCTGGACTGCACTTAAACATTCTATTATATTGGAAAATTAATGTCTTCTGAAAATTAGTTAGCACCTTATGACCTTTGCTGCATATGTTTTCGCCATGATCTATACAATTTTTTCCTTAGCTTTTCATTTTATTTTTTCCTCAAATATTACAAGCATATTTGTAAGACATTAATATAGGAAATGATATATTGCAGAAAATATGAGGAGATCTGTCCACCTCAAATATATGATCTTGATTCACAGAAGTAAAACATTGCAGTGGCACTAAGACTAACGTATTATGCAGGGGTTACAAATGGAGTCGAGGAATGCGAGGCCTTGAGGCACAACGCCTCAAGGACGGGTGGGAATGAGTGGGCCTCAGGGTACGACGGCTCGAGGCTGGGGGGCAGGGTGGGCCTCGTAGCACAACGCCTCGAAGCAGGGGGGCGGGGGATGGCCTTGGGGAATGATGCCTCGAGGCAGAGGGACGGGGAAGGACCTTAGGGAACGACGCCTCAAGGCTGGGGGGTGAGGGAGGACCTTGGGGAACGACGCCTCGAGGCTGGGGGCGGGGGAAGGCCTCGGGGGACGACGCCTCGAGGATGGGGGGATTAGGCACGGCGCCACGAGGCCGGGGGGCGGGGGTGGGCCTCGGGGTACGATGCCTCGAGGCTGGGGTGGGACTCGGGGAACGATGCCTCGAGGCTGGGGAGAGGGGGGGTCTCGGGGTATGACGCCTCGAGGTAGCGGGGCAATGGAGGGCCTTGGGGCACGACGCCTCGAAGTTTGGGGCGGGGGAAGCCCTCGAGGCACAACGCCCCGAGGCCAAGAGTGGTCAAGCACGGCGCCTCAAGAGGGTGGGTCTCAGGGTACGGCGCCTCGAGGTCGGGGGGCAGGGGTGGGCCTCGAGGTACGGCGCCTCGAGGCTCGGGGGGGAGGGAAGGGCCTCGGGGCATGACGCCTCGAGGTAGGGGCAAAGGAAGGCCTCAGGGCACAATGCCTTGAGGCAGTGGGGGAAATGAAGGGCCTCGGGGAACGACGCCTCGAGGCAGGGGGAAATGGAGGGCCTTGGGGCTCGATGTGTCGAGGCTGGGGGGCGGGGAAAGGCCTCAGGGTAGGACGCCTCGAGACCGGGGTGGGCCTCGGGGGACGGCGCCTCGAGGCCGGGAGGGCACGGATGGGCCTCGGGGCTGAGAGGGCGGGTGTGGGCCTTGGGGCATGACGCATCGAAGCCTGGACAAGGGGTCGGGGCACGGCACCTCGAGTCCGGGGGAGGGGGGTGAGCCTCGGGGCACGATGCCTCGAGGCAGGGGGGAAGTGAGCCTTGGGGCACGACTCCTCGAGGCCGAGGTCCCTCGGGGCACGACGTCTCGAGGCAGGGGTGGGCCTTGGGGCACGATGCCTCGAGGCAGGGGGCGGGGGTGGGCCTCGGGGAATGATGCCTCGAGGTTGGGTGGGAGGGGTGGGCCTCGGGAGATTGCTCGTCAAGGTCAGGGGGCGGGAGGCCTCATGGTACGATGCCTCGAGGTCGGGGGGGTCGGGGCATGGCGCCTCGAGGCCAGGGAAGGGGTGGGGGTGGGCCTCGGGGAACGACACCTCGAGGCCAAGGAGGGGGGCGGGGCCTCGGGGTACGGCGCCTCGAGGTTGGGGGTGCGGGGGCGGTCCTCGGGGTACGACGATAAGGGGCAGAGATGGGCCTCGGGGAACGACGCCTTGAGGCCGGGGGGAGAGGGTGGGCCTCGGGGCACAACGCCTCGAGGCCGAGTTGCGGGAGTTGGCCTCGGTGCACGACACCTTGATGCCGGGGGCGGGAGTGGGCCTCGGGGCACGACGCCTTGAGGCTGGGGGCGGGTGTGGGCCTCCCGGCACAATGCCTCGAGGCCAGGGTGGTGGGGGTGGGGGTGGGCCTTAGGGCACGGCGCCTCGAGGCTAGGTAGGGCGGGGGTCGACCTCAGGGCACGGCGCCTCGAGGCTAGGGGTGTGGGGGGGGGGGGGGGCTCAGTACGCCTTTTGTTAGAGTACTGAAATTGAAGCTTAACTGCACAATTACTTGAATTGGACAATTAAGCTTAACCGTTAACGTAGTTGATTGAATTGGACAAATGTGCATAGATGAGATGAAATGTTGTGAGCTCCTTCATCAAACATGTATCTATCTTTCTTTCTTTTTTCCTTCTTTTTTGTCTTTCAGCATGAATGTTGATGGATGCAATGTTGTTCATTGGAATCAATGTTGCCATAAGGTAATTAAGTCTTAAAGTTTGTACAAAAATGTACTCCATTTGTTTTTGAGTTTGTTTTAATGCATTGTCGCTCTTTCAACGTTCGAGTCTCAAATGGGCTAGGTCGGCCCATGGCTACCAAATATAGTGGTAGTAATTCAATCATTCCTTATTGGGATACTCTACTGGCTGTAAGAAATCATCTGGCCATTCTTTTCACAAACAGCAAGGATTTGCAACGAGTTGTTGCTGACGTTGCTTGGCTTCTCGGAATAACCATGGTTCTTAGCAGTGTTATCAGGTGTTGTGTTTATTCCATTTTTGCTGGTTCTATGGTTGAAAGTGTCTTCATCTTTGTAGTCCTTATTATATAGCAAATATTGTTTTGCAGGTGTTGCTATTGGAGGTGGATGGCAAGGTCTAGTGGCTTTTATCAATTTGAGATCTTACTATGTTTTTGGTATTCCTCTAGGATATACGATTGGTTATGTCTCTAACCTTAACCTTGGAGTCGTGGTAAATAAATTCATTCTAAAAGTTACAAACATTAAGTATATCAAAGTTTAATCTCACACTGCATTTGTAAACATCTTTTATAGGAAACACTTCGTTTTAGTATCTCACAACTTTTTTTAACCTAAAAACATTATGACAGAAAATCAATTTATCTGAATTATGGATTTTATGTTGCAAGGTCTATGGGCAGGAATGATAGCAGGACTTGCTTTACAGACACTGCTACTCTCATTTGTACTCTATAGAATTGATTGGAATAAAGAGGTAAATAAAACGGTTGGTGATTTTCGTACAATTTAAAACTCCAAAACAAATTTACTCATTCTTGATAGGAATTAGCTGTCCATCCTCTGTAACCTGATTATCCTATATATAGACGACGTAAGGTTTTCATTTCCATGTTCCATTTTTGTTTGTAAGTCATTGCACAAGGGGAGTTGTTCAACTATTGCTGAATTTTCTGTTCCTCCTCTTTTCTTGGAAAATAGATGAAGCAATACTAGGTAAATACTTAGTTTGTTACAGATTTTTGTTGAACCTTCCCTTTCAGTATGATTCAGTCATGTGTAATAATAAGAAAATGAAATGCAGGTTTAGCAGTCTGTAGAGCACCTACGCAAGTGGAGGTCAAGACTTTGGATCTGAGAAAACTATTATTTCAGAGCCTACAAAGGCCTTACCATAAGAATACGATTTTTCAGTGACATCAAAGGATGAAGAGTCTTCATCTTTGTTTTTGTTAACCAGTTAATAATATAGTATCTACATGTTGTGAATAAAGTGGAGCCTAAATCCATGTCAGATGCCACGGTGGATGACAGCTAGGCCAGGTGTATATCGGTAAAATACTGATCCAAAAGATTATAACGGATTTTGTAGGTGACCCGGCTAAAAGATACTCTTGACATCGTGAGTGGGGAACTGTTAGTTGTAATAGGAACCTAGCTGCAGTTTAGAAGATTAGGCTAAGATATTTGTTTGTTGTGCTCTTTCTCCTGTTATCTCTGTGTTTGTTACATTACATTTAAATATGATATGTCAATTCACAGCTTTGTTGCTCCTATTGTGGTGCCTACATAATCGGTTGATAGTTTACTTTTCTGGATCTCTTGAGGAGTATCACTAATCAAAGTTGCGTGGACTCTTCACTTTCACTGCCGCACCCATGCTGGATTCTCCAAAAATACACTACTTTTGGAGAATCTAATACGCACTCATTGACATTTTTGAAGAGTCCGAGCAACATAGTCAGTCACTAATGTCTTGATCTCAATTTGACTTGTCAATTAACAATAGAAATAGATCACTTGTAGCTTCAGTCATTGATGGACATGCACAGCCGGGTGAGTTAGCAATAGTAGGTATGAGAAGTTTTAGATAGTAGCCGAAGTTGTTTTTCAGAAACAGAAAAAATATAGTTTTTTTTTTTTAAATTATTTTTTGAAAAGTACGTTTGAGAAAAAAATACACTTAAAATTACCTTTAAAAAGTTTGGTCAAACATTAATTGTTGCTTAAAAGTATTTTTAAAATTTATTGATTGAACACATTATTTCTCACCAAAATTACTTTTTTGAAAGCCACTTTCAGAAAGAAAAAAACATTTTTCAAAATAACTTCATTTTAGAAGTTTGGCCAAAACAACTATAAGCTCAAGGACTATAATGAAATGTCCTTTTTTTTTTTTACCCCAAAAATAAAAAAAATGTGCCTTTTTATTTTAGTAGAAAAATGACTCTTGAAGTAGTTGAAAAGTATCTTTTTGATCCTTTTACTTATCAATATTCACAAATTTCAAGAATTAATAATGTTATTTCTTGCACAAAAGAAACTAAATATACGTATTTTAATTAATCAAAGACTAGTGTAATTTCTATATCACAATCAAAATTTACAAACAAGTGAGGAACCAAAAATATTATGATCCCTTCATTTAGTTTGCCACCAAAATAGTTCACATTATCGATGTCACCAATGCCCCTTATTTTGATGATTTAAAGAATTTTACTCAACTAGGTTTTACAAAAAATCGTACATTCATTGATCTACTTGAGGATGAGTTGTGTTGTAGATAACATCATGATTAGACTTGCACATAACAAATTGAACTTGCTCTTGGCATTTGAGCTCAACTAGTCGAGCTAATAAGAAAGAAAGATTATGATTGTAACCTAATAATCCTCAGTTACAATCTCTCACCAATACCTGCATCATACACACCAAATGTAAAACAAATATAAGAATTCACTTATTTTGCTTCTTCTGGATAAGTGATATACAAAAGATAAAAAGGAAAAATGGTAACCATCATGAAAATTTGTTGACAGGCTTTAATCATTTGTAAAAAAGCACGCAGTGTCATGTTTATTCAATGGAACATTGTCATTATATGTCACACTATTTCGAATAAAAAGTAACCATGAAATGCAGTTCAGAATCCAAATACAGAAGGCAAGGTCATCATCTTCCCCACTAACAAAACTAGTAGTCTTTTGTTCCAAAGTTCTTGCACCATAGCTGAGAAGGAATGGGGCGGACTGGAAGATGTGGCCTTTGCTGCAAAATTGAAAAACTTGTTATTGCATGAATCTCAAATATTCCCCAAGAGAAAAACAGAGTAAACTTCCATACATCGCTGAGTCGGTGGAAAGCAAGAAATGCAAGTAAAACAAGAGCAGATTGTTAATAAAAGATAAAAGGGCAGATCAAGAGGAGGAAGGCACACTAAACATTATTCTAGAAAGGCAAAACACAAAGAAAGACACAAAGTTATCACCAACTGCCAATTAAAGACACTTCAAACTTCTTGTAACAAGTTTGACACCTCAATGGCATAAGTGTGTCTTTGGACGCCAGTTCTAAACAACATGTGTGCAATCGTTGCTGACATGTCAAATGAACACCACACCACCCCCTCCACATTTAGCTTCCCTAAAAAGTGAATGCAAACTTCCTGCAACCTCCAAGCCAGAAAAAATGGGATCTTCAACGACCTGATAAGAAAATCAAAACGACAGACAGCTCGCACAACCCCAAACACTTACAGCTCCTCCTCAAAATTTCATCCCAAAATTCCAGTCACAATACCCGACACCGCAGAGCCAACAACTGAGTCTGAGACCATAACTTTGGTTTAGAACTGGCATTTCATGAGCTTGGGTCCGACAAATTTCCTGGTGATGGATTCTGAATCAATGGGAAGCATTGTTTGGAGAACCCCTCTGGTTGAGTTTGTTCAAGTTCTTGCACGCTTATGCTGAAAATAATTTTTTCGGCAAGTTTCTATTAACTCAAAAAGGCAACATCAGCCACCATATTTTTACCAATGTAACTCCTCCATTTATTAGAATGGTAACAAAGCTACTTCGCCTTTTTCTCAATACTCCTCCACCTTTGAACCATAAACCACCACAACTGACAACACCGTAGAAGAATTTCCAGAATCTCCATTTTGAAACCATCACCATAACAACTCCCTCACTAAGGAATTTTTTGTGGCAAGACAACAAGGAAAGGGGAGGCTTTCAGCTTGTCAAACAGAAAACAAGGAAGGGAAACCTAGGTATACTGAATTTGAGGAAATAAAATCAAAGTCTTCTCATAAAATGGCTATGGAGATACCCTATGAAGATCACTTCCTGCGGAAGAAAGTAATCAAAGGTAAACATAGAGAGGAGTGCTTCTGGAAAACAAAGGAGGTGACCACTGCTTATAGTGTTCGGGGTCATATGGTTGTTGGTTGGAGCTATGCATGGATCAGTTATTTATGTATTACTAATCCCTGTATTAGTTATTCCATATTTTACTCCGCATAAAACACATAAATTGACTCATTGACTTAAACATGTCTTATTAATGTGAAATTGAAAAATGATAATTGATTACTGAACACTATACATGGTTTGCTGAATTTTATACAAAGCAATTAAAAGCTAACAAACATGATATTAGCTATGCTAGTTTTAATACATGAATAACTCTCTTCCTAACTAGCAACCAAACAACCCCTTAGTGTTTGGAAGCCTATCAACGCTCTTTGGCAAATTTTTAGGATCAGCTACAGAATTGGAAATTAGCAAGACACATCTTTTTGGGAAGACAACTGGTTTGGCCTCTCAAGCTACTATTCTTTGATATCTACACTCTAAACCAGCAACAGAAGCCCACCACTAATGAAGTATGGACTGCACAGGGGTGGAATCTCAGTTTTAACTTTTAAGAGACCAATGAATGATTGGGAGATTGCTAGATTCGCTGATTTTCAACACAGTCAAGCAGTTCACAGTGCTAAACCGGAATCAAGATAAATTATGGTGGCTAGGGCATAACTCAGAAGCTTCTTTGTAAAATCATCTGAACCACGCCAACAATCAAACTGAATTGTGGCCTAGGAAGCACATATGGAAGGTTAAAATCCTAGACAAGTTGGCTTACTTTGGTTGGCTGGTATGGAGGAGGCAAGTTTAACTTGAGCGAACCTTAAAAGGAGGGGAACAAAACTCTGTTCGATTTTCCATCTATGTGGGGAAAATGCATAAACAAATAGCTACATGTTTCTACATTATAAAGTGACTACACATTTATTGGGCATCTTTCTGGTTATGGCAAGTTTGAGTTGGAGAATGCCAGAGAAAACTCTCTGACTGTTGTCAAGCTGGCAAAGTGGAGGATCATTAAATCAGAAAAGAAGATGGAGCATAATCTCATCTTGCATATGGTGGGTCATATGTAGGGAGAGGATCTTAAGATGCTCCAAAAATAAGGGCAATTTAATTCAGAAAATAAATTGAATTGCATGATGTTGTTCCATCTCTGGTGCAAACAGAAAATATATATATATATATATATATAAAATAAGGAAGAACAGAGTTTTTTTGGTTTGTTTCTATACCTCCTTTTTTACTACAAAACTCTATAATTTGAACAGTCTTTTCGACTTTTAGTATTATAAAAATAAAAATATTTGCCATATCAAATAAATGTTTCCAATTTGGGTAAACGAAAGGGTAAAAGGGGAAATTTATTTTCTTTTTGATAGCTGGAGATGGGTTCTAAATACACCCACACTAAAAAGTGAACATACCAATAGTGTATTGTCAGGTTAGATCAGGGTGAGCCCAACACATTAGGTTAATGAGAATCGAGAAGTGTCCTACTAGTCACGAGGATAATTAAGTTGTACAACTGGAAGATGATGACAACTCTAAGTGTCTATTTATGTATTTGGCCTTCTAGAAAATAATCATTAGTCTTTGGGATGGAAAGAGCAACCATTTACATGACAAACAGACTCAGTATCAGCTTTGAACAGAGGCTTCAAACTTGCAGACAACATAAACATTGGTTAGGCAAAATCTTCTTTGCTTGCACCAATGTTCCAAATACTTCAGTTTTTTTTACTTTATATTTTATTGTTCTTTAAAAATGCTTAAGATGCACTTGTTTGACAGCAATAAGTACAGAATTTGTAGCATCTAACTAAGAGTACCAAATAAGCAGGCTGAACGTTTGATCAACAAACTAAGGACAAGATCATAATATTAGAAGGAAAACAAAAGGCAAGACAGGTAGAACGGGAGGAAAGGGGGCATAGTCTAGTGAACACGCACCCCTTCCCCTCACAATTTTGCCTAGTATGATCAATGATTCCCCATTTACGATAACCAATCTGCAGAGTGGGAGGTTACAGTGCGAGCGACCATTTCTAAAATCTGTATGTTCAGAGAATCACTAGATTATCTTTGTTTCCTTTTTGTCAACTAAGAAAACACCAAGAACCATGACACATGGATCGAAACTCGGTGGATAATGGGCTTGCCCATTACA